ATCTGCTGCTTTGGTTTTTCCTCAAAACTGCACCTATTTTGGTGTGTCATGGTCAGGGATGGGACTTCAGACATTACTGGATGCTGCTTTCTTTGAGTTCCTACCTCAAATCACTGTCAGCAGAACCATGAGCCCCTTTAAAGCTGAATTTTCTCTAATTCTTATACTAAACTGAAATTATTTTTAAGTAGGATTGAGTTGCCACCACTCACATGGAGAACTCTTGGAGAATTTTCATGGGTATTGTATGATTTCAGCTGATATTCATGACCACTTGAAGGTTAGGGGTGGAAAAGACACATTCCTGGGTACTCCTGGGATGAGCTGCACCCTGTCTCCAATTAATGCAGCAGATATATTTAAAGGACTGTTAAGGAAAAATGTGCATGTCAGCCAAAGAGGAGTCTTACAAAATCTCTGAGCAGACAAGCTTATGACATCTTTGTAAGGGGAGAAGTAACATGTGGAGTCAGCTTAATGCACGTGGTAATTCCAGTGAGGTCACAAGAATGATATCAGGAATTACAGCAGCCAATTAAGACCCAAGATTAAAGAAAACCTGATGGTGAAACATGGACATCACACGGTGCAAGAATTTGAAAATAAAACCATGACCATGATAAGTGCAAAACTTTAATCAGTCAAAGCTTTTAAATAATTTATCTTATTAGTCAAACACAACCCTCAGCAAAGAGTGAGTTTCAGATCCTGTAGGAATGCTGAGAAACCCTATATAAGCTCCAGCCTCTGCGTTCATCCAGACACCACTTCTGGCTTCTTTGCCTTGCTGAGCTTGGTGAGTATGATATTTTATTTCTTTCCATATACTTAACCAAAACCTACCAACAGGGTAGATGGAGAAGATTCCTTCAAGCAACTTTAGATCATTTCGGTCTCTATCTATTCTTGGTGAAAGCAGAGTAAAAAGAGGATTTAGGAGACTGGGTGTGAGGGTAAAAACTGGGAAATTGATCTGAGGTTTTTAAGCTGACTAGAAGCTTTAAAATCAGAGAGATTATTTTAGAAATTATTTTGATGTTTTATAAACTTTAAGATAGATATCTAATAGGGCCACCTACTTAGCTGTGTGCAGTGGCATTTTGGGAGACTCAAACCCTCCTGTATAGAGCAAAGCCATGTCTGACCTGGGTCTATTCCCACAGTATGGGGAACTCAGCAATGGATGAGACTGAAGTTCTTACATTGTTCTTTAGAGGGTGTGTTTGCAGAACAAGGTAGACACATCCACTGAAGGCCGTAAGAAAGGTTTGTCTGTGGGGTCTGGTTATTCCTGGGATGGACTATATGGAGTCTGAAAATCTTTGGATTAAGGTGCTCATATGACGTTAATAAAGGGCGCACATAAAATATACCCCATAGCACGGCAAAGCACAACACAGGAATTTCGCTCCTATCAGTATTTTATGATTTATCTCATAAACACTGTCTTTTTTTCAGACTTTTCCATATCCATCTGTTGCAAACCAAACTTCACCTCTGCACCAAGATGTCTTGCTCCGACCTGTGCCCCCCAAAGACCGGCGTTGCCGTCCCCCAGCCCATCGCTGAGAGCTGCAACGATAAGGTTTTGTTCTTCTTATTTCTTACTTAATCTTCATTATCATGCAATTTTCAATATATTTTAAAGTTCATAATGAATTTTCTCTGATTGTTGCAGTCACTATTATGGTATAAAACCTTCATTTTTTCTTTTTTTCTTCTATGAAAATACATTCTAAATTCTCTCCTATTATATTTTTTGTCAGAATTCCTTAGGTTTAAGAATCTTCTATGCCTGGAGATTGTTATTTTTTTGTCTTCCCCTGCAATAAATAAATGCAGGGCAGTTTTTGTTGGGGAGTCACTTATCACCCTCTTCCACTTACCTTGTAGATCTCCAGATGCATCCTGTCTCTAATTCAAGATGCAGAAATTATTTATTGTTTTGAAGATATTAGCCTTTCAACTTTCTTCATCTCCTGCCTTTAACACTTCACTTTTCAGCTTCGCCCGTTGGGATTGCGTGAAGTTCTGGAGAGGGATGGGAAGGACCAGGAAGTTTTCAACACCAGGTTCTTCCTGAAGAGGAGTGTAAACACAGAGAGGAGCAGGTTACCCTGGGTGTCACAAAAGGGAAAGTAGGGCAGGGACAGAGCTGGCCAAGCCCTTCGGTCATGAACCACAACCTGATTCCCTAATTCCTGATTCCCAGAGATAGGACTGTCACTGTCTCCTTGTTTGGTTTGATACTATTACTCACCACTGGGACATGCAAATCACATTATAACAACAAAACAACCTGCATAAATCATTAGTCAGTGTTTCTAAAGTGCTTTGTTATCTTTTTGTTCCTAGGAGGCTGGAGAAAACCTGCAAGAAGCACTTTCCTTCCCACGGGAACACCCCAAAGACATTTTGTAATTCCAAGAGCGTTTAACTCACAATGTTATTAAATACAAAATAATTCTACCAAGTGAAGAGAGGAAATCAGAGGACTTTGATGTGGGGAGAGGTTGGTCACCCTGAGACAAAATAAAGAGACCGAACTTGTTCTGACTTGCAGACTTTGTGGTAAAAAATAAGTCTAAGCAAGGAAGTCACCCCGGAGCTGGGATATGTGGGTTGAACTCATTTACTTTCTATGCCTGGAGAGTGTTATTTTTTTGTCTTCCCCTGCAGTAAACAAATGCAGGGCAGTTTTTGTTAGAGAAAGAGTCACTTATCACCCACTTCCACTCACCTCCTCAGTCACAACTCCCAAACTGCCAAAATGCATGTCAGGAAAAAAAAAATTAAGTGAAATAAAATAAGATATCACAACAAAACAAAGCAGAAATCTAAACACACTTCCTTTACCGCCTGAAGAGAAAAGGAAATATCCATGTAAAACTGTACCACAACAAGAAATATTCAGCTAAGGCATTAAGGAGGAATTTAGACCAGATATTTCAGGTCTTGGAGGGTCTTTTTAGGGATGACAATGAGAAGAGTCTCTAAAATGACTTGGACATGGGTAAAAGAATCTAAAAGCTGGGAAAAAAATACTGACTGTCCTCTGAAAAAATCACAGAAAAGGTGTAAATAATTACAAATACATGCAGGGTTTTTTTTTAAGGTATAGTTTGAAATACCATCTTTTCACCTGATACACAGCAAATGTGACACTTTATACAAACAGGGGATTTTAAAGGATATTTTTTTAATTAAAGAAGAGGTGCATTCATACTGACCCATGACTTCCAGTGAAACAAATCATGATTTAATTAAAATAATGGTGTGCACCACCTTGTTTCCTGCACATTAAGGCAACTGTGATTGTGTAACACTGAAGCAACTAAATCACTTACACATTTTCATACATCAACACAACACCAACCATTAGCTGCGCTGAACACTAACTAATGAATGTTTGTGAAATCATTACAAAGTTGTTGTTGTTTTTTTTCTCAATAGGCCCCAGAACATGTTTGATAAGAGTTAACACCCACAACAGCCAACAACGAAAAAAACCCCACACCTTTATCTGCTGCTTTGGTTTTTCCTCAAAACTGCACCTATTTTGGTGTGTCATGGTCAGGGATGGGACTTCAGACATTACTGGATGCTGCTTTCTTTGAGTTCCTACCTCAAATCACTGTCAGCAGAACCATGAGCCCCTTTAAAGCTGAATTTTCTCTAATTCTTATACTAAACTGAAATTATTTTTAAGTAGGATTGAGTTGCCACCACTCACATGGAGAACTCTTGGAGAATTTTCATGGGTATTGTATGATTTCAGCTGATATTCATGACCACTTGAAGGTTAGGGGTGGAAAAGACACATTCCTGGGTACTCCTGGGATGAGCTGCACCCTGTCTCCAATTAATGCAGCAGATATATTTAAAGGACTGTTAAGGAAAAATGTGCATGTCAGCCAAAGAGGAGTCTTACAAAATCTCTGAGCAGACAAGCTTATGACATCTTTGTAAGGGGAGAAGTAACATGTGGAGTCAGCTTAATGCACGTGGTAATTCCAATGAGGTCACAAGAATGATATCAGGAATTACAGCAGCCAATTAAGACCCAAGATTAAAGAAAACCTGATGGTGAAACATGGACATCACACGGTGCAAGAATTTGAAAATAAAACCATGACCATGATAAGTGCAAAACTTTAATCAGTCAAAGCTTTTAAATAATTTATCTTATTAGTCAAACACAACCCTCAGCAAAGAGTGAGTTTCAGATCCTGTAGGAATGCTGAGAAACCCTATATAAGCTCCAGCCTCTGCGTTCATCCAGACACCACTTCTGGCTTCTTTGCCTTGCTGAGCTTGGTGAGTATGATATTTTATTTCTTTCCATATACTTAACCAAAACCTACCAACAGGGTAGATGGAGAAGATTCCTTCAAGCAACTTTAGATCATTTCGGTCTCTATCTATTCTTGGTGAAAGCAGAGTAAAAAGAGGATTTAGGAGACTGGGTGTGAGGGTAAAAACTGGGAAATTGATCTGAGGTTTTTAAGCTGACTAGAAGCTTTAAAATCAGAGAGATTATTTTAGAAATTATTTTGATGTTTTATAAACTTTAAGATAGATATCTAATAGGGCCACCTACTTAGCTGTGTGCAGTGGCATTTTGGGAGACTCAAACCCTCCTGTATAGAGCAAAGCCATGTCTGACCTGGGTCTATTCCCACAGTATGGGGAACTCAGCAATGGATGAGACTGAAGTTCTTACATTGTTCTTTAGAGGGTGTGTTTGCAGAACAAGGTAGACACATCCACTGAAGGCCGTAAGAAAGGTTTGTCTGTGGGGTCTGGTTATTCCTGGGATGGACTATATGGAGTCTGAAAATCTTTGGATTGAGGTGCTCATATGACGTTAATAAAGGGCGCACATAAAACATACCCCATAGCACGGCAAAGCACAACACAGGAATTTTGCTCCTATCAGTATTTTATAATTTATCTCATAAACAATGTATTTTTTTCAGACTTTTCCATATCCATCTGTTGCAAACCAAACTTCACCTCTGCACCAAGATGTCTTGCTCCGACCTGTGCCCCCCAAGAACCGTCGTTGCCGTCCCCCAGCCCATCGCTGAGAGCTGCAACGAGCTGTGCGCCCGCCAGTGCCCCGACTCCTCGGCCTTCATCCAGCCCCCCCCGGTGGTGGTCACCTTCCCCGGCCCCATCCTCAGCTCCTTCCCCCAGCAAGCCGTGGTGGGCTCCTCCGGAGCACCCGCCTTTGGGGGCTCCCTGGGCCTGGGGGGCCTCTACGGCGCCGGGGCCACCCAGGGCTCGGGGGGCCTCTGCACCTTTGCCAGACCCTCCTACGTTTCTCCCGCCTGCAGCCCTTGTGTCCTGCCCCGCTACAGCAAGAAGCTCTGGGACACCTGTGGGCCCTGCTAGACACAGCCCAGCCCCAGCACCTGCCCTCAGCCCAAACACCAATGCCACCTGCACCCATGCAGGGCTGAGCTAGTGGGCACGGGGCACTGAGCTGTACCTGAGCAGCCCCAGCCAACACCTGCCTGGGCAGCTGCCAGGGCCGTGCACCCTCCAGCCTTCCCTGCCCTCTTCTTCTGCCTTTTCTTTCTTCCCTGCCCTCTCATGCCAGCTGTGGGATAGGGCAGGACATAGACTCTAAATTTCTGTGGGCCTAATGGACTAGCTCCTTGGGATCTGAAACTCTGAGCCAAGGGGGTATCCAGAGAGAGAAGCCAAACTCTGGAGAAGATCCCTCTGCCTCCCAGAGCTTGTGCCAACTGGCCTCTCTGCCTCTCGCCCACCGTCTCTGACAATCTCTCCTGCCTCTCTGGGCACAATAAAGATTTTCTGCATCCAAATCATGTCTCCCTCCCTATTTATCCCCACTCAGGAAGACTCAGGGCATGGTTTTGTGTGTGGCAGGTGTGAGAGGGCAAATGGTGGCCCTGAGGTGCTAGGAGAAAGTAAGGGTGGGCAGTGTTGGGAGAGGGAGGCTGCAGGCAGGGGAGACAGAGCCTTTGGGTGGGCTTGCAGGAGCTGGGAAGGGGCAGAGGGCAGTGCTCCTTTGCCTGGCCTTCTCAGTCCTGCAGCAGCACTAGATCCTGGTGCTCTTTTGCTTCTGGTCCATACCTTGTGTTCGGCAGCTCCTCCAGCTCCCTGTGTGAGTCCAAGGTCCCTCCTGGCTGGGCGATTTCAGCCTCTTCCACACTCAGCAGCAGGTACTGCAGCCCAGAGTCCTCACACCAGCACAGCCGGTTCCTCCACAGCAGCTGCGGGCAGCAGTAACCCTGGAATTCTGAAAGTTTTCATATCCTTTAACTTTGTATTATCTACATTCTTCCTATTATAGTTCTCATTTCATGCCAGCAGAGGATACCTGTCATGGACCAATTCCAGAAAACTGGGGATTTTAAACTCAATGAAGAAGAGATTTGTGCTGCTTTCCTCTCATTTTCGTTCTCAATCAAGCTCTGCAGCAGAACACAACCCGATTTCTGCTTCCCCGCACTCCCACACACCTTTAACACTCTTTTACAGGCTGTGAAGTTCAGCTTTTGGTCTCAGGTTTCCAACCCCACCCCCAGCACACAAAAGCAGTTCCCAAGCCCTCCAGAAATCCCACTCCTTGTTATGGTAACAAGAACCTTTAGAGCCAAATACCAAATTTTAGTCGTCATTTAACTGAGCTCTGAGCTCAGCCCTCAAGTCACAGTACAAATCCCATCACCTACGATACCTCAGGAAACAATCTCTTCACAGAAAACAGGGCAAAACTTGTCAATGAGAACTATTTTCTGCACAGGAAAGAAATTCCTCCTCATCACTGGAAAAGGTTCATTTCCCCATAAGGAGGAACTGTGAGGTTTTCATTTAGTTGCAGAATTGAACAGAAAGCAAATCTGTGGGTGCAACATGTTTTGATGTAATGGCATGAAGACAGAAAAGTGTTTTCAAGCTCTTTTAAGATCACTTGGCACTGACAGAAAACTCCTGCAGTGCAGGTAGTGAACAAAGGCCTGGAAAAGGAATAAAAAAATTACAGACACACTTAGAAACTGCATATAACAAGAATAATGTTCATTCTTTGTAGTCACACTTGGACTGGTGAAGGGCTCCAAGAATTTCTGCCCTGCACAGGTCTGAATATTCCTTCAAGAGGAGGAATTAATGAAAAGCAGAGAGAGGCTCTTGTGCAACTCGGTGGGTTTTAATGGGAAAGAGCAGCAGAACTACAGAGGATCCCAGAGGAAAGGTGGGGTGCAGGTGTTGTGCTCTGGTACCAGCACCCTGCTTAGGACCCAGGGGACAGCCGAAGTGCTGGGGGGAGGCAGGGAGTGCCAGGGCTCAGCCGTGCAGCCAGGGCAGCCCCTGGCACAGGGGAGGGGGCTGCTGGGCACATGCAGCCTCAGTCCTGTCCCCAGGGCAGGGCAGGGCAGCTGATGGGTGCTGCTGGTCCCCAGGGCTGTGCTCCACGTGCTGGTGGCCTGGCTCTTGCTGCAGGGCTCTGGACACCATCCTGGAGAGCTTCAGAAAGCCCCACAGCTGCCACGGTGGGACCTGCCCCACCTCTGGGCACCAGGGCGGTAGTAGCCCGTGCCACCGG